GGGAGATGTTCCAGCAGTCAGGAGATCATCTGACCGCAGAAGTGCTGCCTCACCGTCTCTCCCAGCTTAGCTCTCCAGCAAAAAGGATGCAGGAGGAGGTGCCAGCAGCGTGCTGGGACTCTGGCACGTTGCAGGGGGTTGCAGAGGTGATGCTCAAAGGCATCCAAGCTGCTGTGTCCCATTGGTGTGAGGAGAACACCCTCTCTGGGGCCAAAACTCCGACCCACTGATTTCACCCACGTCACATCACCGTGGAGTGATTCAGCAGACTCCAGAGACTCCATGCCTGCTGCATGGCACAGTGCAGCCAAGAGCAGGCTCTGGCTGCCTTATTCCAGAGCTCATGAGAAAAGGAAAAATACACAAACTTCTTTTCTTACACTGGTGGAAGTAGAAATATTTCTTCCTTCTACAGAGAAAAGCAAAATCTGTCCCTGCTGCATTTCTGTGTGCCTACATAAGCCGTATTAGTCCCCTGCAGGTGGCCCTTGGAACCTGTGACTCTTTCATGCTTTAGTACGAAAATGAAAATGGGAAAAAAAAGAAAAATAAGAAAAAGAAACAGCATTGCAACGATCCACTTGGTTAAACTGGTACATCCAAAAGCGCAGACCCACGGTTTGCTTCAGTTTAAACACGTGCCTAAATGATTTATTTAAAATGAAACAGGCTTGGTTTAAAGCCAAGTAAGTGTCTGTTTACCCCATCAAAAGAGAGTAACAGCAGCTCATTTACTGCTTGTCGGCCAGATTTGCAAAGAGGATTTAAAAGGGAACATTGACGGTGAGGAGGGACCGGTACCAGAGGGGGTGTGGGGGCAGTTTAGGGTTGTTTGAAAGACCAATAATAGCTGAAGATGTCCCCGTCCATGGCAGGGGGGCTGGATTAGGTGGCCTTTAAGGTCCCCTCCAACCCAACCCAGTGTGTTATTCTGTTCTGCGAGTCTGTGATTTTCAGCAGCAGGAAGCACAAGCGTGATCCTTTAGTGCAGTTCCACTGAGAGGATGCCAACCCCTTGGGCTGGCCTGGCCCTTCCTGCAGATGCACAGGGGAGGCTTCTCCGGGTGAGCAAGAGCAAAGGAAAAAAAGTGCTGAAGAGCAGGAGGGCACAGCACGGTCTGCAGAAGCTGCAGGTGAGTCAGAGGGACATGCAGGGCTTGGAGTGCAGGGGGAAGGAGGGAAAAACAGGGAGATGTTTGAGAGGGGAAAAAAAAAAATGCTCCGTTCCTCTCTGGCTTCTTTTCTTCCTGGCAGAGTAAGGAAGTATCCTGAGCACACACCCTGGCAGATGGTGTGCCAGACACACTGATATTTGGATCCTCCAGCCATTCCTGCCTCAGATCTCCTGGCAGTGGGCCAAGCACTCTCCAGGCTGGTATGTCCAACTGTTGTGGTCCAAGAGCAGTCCTTGTGGCTGTTGTGTGCTCCCAAACCCAGCCCAGACGTTCCATCAGATGCCCGAGGTTTAGTCACCCCTTTCTCCTGATGCTTAAACATCTTAAGAATTTGGTTTCATGGCAAACATCACAATTCCTCTGATCATTTCTTGCATGGGGATGTTACCTCCAGCAGCTTTCTGCCAGGAACTCACCAAACTCCTGCAAATAAATATTATCAAGGCACCTGAGACTTCCAGGTTCTTATTTCGAAGCACATTTTCTTTAGGAATTGTCATTACCACACCTCCACCAAACAAAGTAAGCAATTCAGAGTGCTCTTACTCCTAAAGTAACTTGTTTTTTCTTAAATAGAAGGCAAGAGAAGGAATTGGGAACAGCTCACCAGGGTTTCTTATGGCTGTTTCGGGGCCAAACTAAAGACTCTCTTGTTCTGGTGTTTGCTGTAGCTGAGCTGCACAGTGGCTAAAAGGAGAATTCAGTGGCTAAAAGGAGAATGAAATTATGATGTGCTGTACCACCTGACTGTCGTACACTTGAACTATTTCAAAGTAAGCTATGAAAAGAAAGGCATCTCTAAGGATTCTCATGTCTGCAGTGACCCCAGTTTTAAGCACAGGTTAGGTGGGCTTTCCACATCCAGACACCTGAATGTTTTGTGGTGTTGGACTAGAGTGCCTGCCTGTTTTGGAGCGGGGACTCAGGTTAAACAAAACTAACCTTGCAGGGCTTTGCCATTCCTGTGACTTGTCCACTAGGGAAAATTTTTTCTGTGGGTTAACTCCCACAAGAAGAAACACCATTTGAATTTATTTTAGTGTTCAGGATGGTTCCTGTGTATTTCTACCACTTTGTGCTCAGTGATTAACTTTAAAATCTCAACAGGAAAAAGACCAACAGTCTCCACCTCAGCTTTTGAAATAGCTATTGCAATATTTGTAATTGCTGCTGGATATTTGCCTTTGCATCTCAGGCAGTTTAGCAAATTAACAAAATGTGAAACCTAACAACAGGCTGTTGTTTTAGGAATGACCCAGAAAACTAATAATTACCCAGTGAAGTCCCTTGTGTTATGATGAGTTGATCAGCTCGTCTCCGATAATTCCCCCCAAACTGGTCAGGTCTCACAATTCACTTGTAATCCCAAAAATATTCAGGATGTGAACTGGAGCTTCGTGTCCTGAGAGCAAGCCATTGCTTGCAGATTTCAGTTTGGGAGAGGGAGGAGCACTGAAGGGTAGCTAATTTATGGTCGAGTTTGAAGTTGCAGAGAAAACCCTGACACAAGGAAGGCTTAGAGAGTATGAAGTGAAAGAAAACAAGCCAGTAGTTATTTAAAAATATTTTATTGATGAATCAGTTGTGGGATTGAAGGGGAGGGGGGGTGAGAGTGGGAATTATTGCTGACTTTAGGTGACCCTCAGTGACACTCTGTTCTAATGATTCCTTTGGGTTGTAATACTAGAGTTTGCCAAAGCAGCATATTCCCTGGGAAAAACAAACAAATAAACAAAAAACCCAAACAAACAACCCCCCCCCAAACAAAAATAAATATAAAATTTGAAAAACCAAAACAAAGCAAAACAAAGCAAAAACCAACCAAACAAAAAAAAATCCCAAGCAGCTGAAGTCTTAGATTTGCTACTTCTTAGGTCCAGGTGACTGTTTAAGTGCCACATCAGTGCTCATGGGACACATCCCTGCATGTGAGACGCTCCAGGCAGTGTCAGGGTGCTGAAAAAAAAATTGACTGAGGCAGCTTCATGATTCAGAGGCAGCATTCAGCCATTACCCAGCTCATTAAAGGGCTAAAGGATAAGTGCACCGGGACAGAGCGTGATGAACACGAGCAGAAGTTCAAAGCAGCTTGGAAAAACCCCTGCAGCCGTGAGCAAACACGATGCTTTATGTCTGAGACCTTTGTGGAGTGCTCAAACAACGTAATTGTTTTTATTGTGTTTGGCGTTTGCTCACCAGCTCATTACTGATCGTTTTTGACGCTCGAAGAAAGCGCGAGCTGCGCTTGCCACTCGAAGGGAGGGTGACAGCGGGCGTGAAGCTGCCACCTCCCCGCCCCACGGGGCCATACCCACGCCACCTTTATGGGGCTGCTCAGGAATTCCAATGCTCCAACCAGCGGAGGTTTGTCTCTCTTCAGTATTCATTATACTTCAGAAATCACTTAATTTAGAGATTCTACCCGTGCTGTCCCAAACCCTTTGCCACTAGCTGTGCCCAGCGGTGTAACCTGGGGCACAGGCTGATGGCACCAGCCCCACAGGCTGGCAAATCCTTTCCAAAAAGGGCAGCACAACTGCCCCAAGTGCCAGTGTCACACAGCTGGTCACGGCAGCGGGTCTCGCTGCCGCCTGTCTCTCCGTCCAGCAGGCAGCCGTGCCGGGAGCGCCTTGTCCCGTGGCCCTGCTCATCCTCGAGGAGACGCGAGGGGCACAGTTTGGTCCCCGTGGGTGGACGGAGAACGCCTCGTAGCAGGGATTGCACGGGAGATGTAGAACACCGGGAACACCAGTGAGGTGCTGGCAGCTCTGGGTGCGGCGTGGGGCTGGTGCCAGCACAGCCTTCCCCGGGGACCTTTTGTCCTCTCCTGGGTGTCCCGGGGTGGGTGCCCTGGGTCAGTGCTCGTGGTGGGTGCCCGGGGGTCTACCGGGGTGTGTGTGCTCGGTTTGGGTACCCTGGGCTGTGTTCCCGGGGTGTGTGTGCCTGGTTTGGGTACCCTAGGGTCCCAGGGGGTGTGTGTGCCCAATTTGGGTACCCCGGGGTGTGTTCCCGGGGTGTGTGTGCCCAGTTTGGGTACCCTAGGGTCCCAGGGGTGTGTGTGCCCAATTTGGGTACCCCGGGGGTGTGTTCCCGGGGTGTGTGTGCCCAATTTGGGTACCCTAGGGTCCCAGGGGTGTGTGTGCCCGGTTTGGGTACCCCAGGGTGTGTTCCCGGGGTGTGTGTGCCCGGTTTGGGTACACGGGGGGTATCCTGGGGTGTGTGTGCCTGGTTTGGGTACCCTAGGGTCCCAAGGGTGTGTGTGTCCAATTTGGGTACCCCGGGGTGTGTTCCCGGGGTGCGTGTGCCCAATGTGGGTACCCGGGGGGTTATCCCGGGGTGCGTGTGCCCAGTGTGGGTACCCGGGGGGTTATCCCGGGGTGCGTGTGCCCAATGTGGGTACCCGGGGGGTTATCCCGGGGTGCGTGTGCCCAATTTGGGTACCCCAGGCCCCCGCTCTCTCCCCTCCCTTCTCCCCCGCACTGCAGCGCCCACTTCCCCCGCCAGGGGCCGCTGTCCCCCACCGCCTCCACCCGCCGCCACCGCCCCTCGCGGTGCACGCCGGGAGTTGTAGTCCGCCTCGGCCCGGCGGGCGTTGCGGCGCACGCAGCGGCCGCGGGCGGGGGACTCCCTCTCCCAGCGGGCCGCGCGGCGCCGGCCCGGCCGTGCCTTTTGAATGATTTCAGAGCGCTCGGCGGCCCCCGCGGGAGGGACCGGCAGGGAGCGGCAGGAGCGGCGGCGGGAGCTGCGCCCGCCCGGCCCGTCCATGGCGGCCCCAGCGGGCCCTGCCCCGGCCGCCCGCGGCCCCCAACGCTGCTAGGGAGCGGGCAGCTGGGCTGCACCTTCGCCCGCCCGCCGACATGTCGCTGGCCATGGAGGAGGAGGAGTACTCGCGGCTGGTGATGGAGTCGGAGCCCGAATGGCTGCGGAGCGAGATCAAGCGGCTCTTCCAGGAGCTGGGCGAGACCACCCGGGAGAAGATCCAGGCGGCGGAGTACGGGCTCGCCGTGCTGGAGGAGAAGCAGCAGCTGAAGCAGCAGTACGAGGAGCTGGAGCTGGAGTACGAGACCATCCGCGCCGAGATGGAGCAGCTCAAGGAGGTGAGGGGCGGCGGCGGGGCCGGTGCGGGGGTGCCCGGGCCCGGTGCGGGCACGGCGTTCGAGCGCTGCCCCCGCAGTGACAGCCGGGCGAGGGAAGGGGTGGGGTGGGGAAAAGAAAAGGCCTCTGTGCCCCCGAGCCCCTCCGCCGTGCCGGGGATGTGCGAGGGAGGGGGCTGAGCGCTTCTCTTTCTCCTCCCGTCCATGCCCGGGACCGGGGTGAGGTGGTGATGCTTTCATACCCCTGTTTTTTGTGCGGACGGGAGAATCTTGCGTCGCTGTTAAATCACCTCCTCAGCTGGGGACCACTGGGAAAATAAACTGGCAGGCTTTAGTTTGCATAATATTTGGTTTGGTGCTGTTCCGTGTCGTTGGTGTATTATTATTTGTTATTGTTATTTTTGTTATTATTGTTGTTAGTTTTGTTATTGTTATTATGTTTTATTATTATTGTTATACTGTTTATTTTTATTATTATTTTAAATTCTTTTTTTAAAGGAAACTCCAGATCTAATCTGTACAGCAGAGTAAGGTTTGTCGGGAGAAACGCTGTGTTGCTGAAATGGCACATAAAGTTTTTCTAGTGTAGAACGTGGGAAAAGTGGTGCCTGGGGAAGAGTCACAACACACGGACTGGTGGTTCGCTGTCCTTGTGAGCTGATCCCCTGCCAGCCCACTCCATACCATGTCCCTTGGGAAGTTGCCTGGCCGCCTGTAGCCTTGGTTGGTCCGGTGATTTGCTGTGCAGGAAAACCCTGTGCTGCTTTTCAACTGATTTAGGCCTTGCCTTGATTGCAGAAGATCTGATACGGCCTATGTGGATTTATTTGACCCGTGCAAACCGTATCCAATGGGGCTTTGCTTTAGCTCGTTCAGTTGGAAATGGATTTCAAGTAAAATCAAAATACACTGTTTCAAAGGGCAAGTAAATTCTTGGAATAGACTGGTTGGTACAAATTCAGTTGAATCGGTGAATGCCCTCCCTTCCCGCCTCCTGTGTGTCTTTTGGTTTTGTAAATAAAGCTTTATTTTGCTTTTATTGTGTTAAACTAGCGTAAGCAAAGAGGTTAATAACTTGGAATTACGTGGCTAGAAACTTGTTAGCTAAATATGGGCGCTGGACTGATTGTGCTGCTGTTGCTAAAGCCACTCGAGGTTACAGCAGCACGACAGGACTAGAGGTGTGGAAGTCAAGGGCAGTGGCAGTCTTGAAAAGAAGGTGAGAGCTGTAGAGTTGAGCTCAAGGGAATGAAAAGTCAGTAAACCCATTAGGTGGGTGGGATGGGAAACGTGGCAGAGAGGTGAAGGGACTGGCCCAGCCTCTCTCAGCAAGGCAGCTGGAGCCAGGTTGGCTCAGTCACAGGTGGTGCTTCAGTCACTGGCTTGTGCTGTGTGTGGTTTGGGCATTAAGTGCTTTGGCTCTCAGGTGGAAAAGGGCTTGATGATAAGGTCTTTTCATTCTTTTAGGGCTGCACCACTTGAGAAGAGATTAAAAAAAAAAAAAAGAAAAAAAGGGATCAGCAATGATTCACTCCTCTTTGCTTTTCACGTACCGAAGGATTTGCTTTGTGTGTGCATGTCTCATTGCAATTAAGTCATAACCTGGGAGGCAAACAATTCTGGGAACAGCTTGAGGACTCTGCATTGCTGCTCTTTTGATGCTGGGGGGGGGGAATCTGGTCTGCATTAGATCTTGTAAAACCTTTAGCAGATGCACGAAGCATGCTCTAAGAGGGGGGAGTTTATCGTCTTTCCTGTTTATGCAACTTCTTGTTTTTCCCAGGCTGAGGGAGTGCTGCGCACCAGGCTTACCTTGTGGTTCAAGCTCCAACCTAAAGGGACTCCCCCTTGGGTCACCTGTTCTTGGGGAATGGTGCTTTCCACCTCTTGCTTCTTAACTGTGACTTCACGCAGCCTTTGAAAATACAGCCCTTGTAGTCTCTGGAGGTCTTATTTTGTTCCCCTCCATCAGGAGACCTCGGCAGCACAAGGCCATGCTAGGCAGGGTGCAGGGCAGGCACACAGCAGTTTCCTGTCCTGCTGGGTGTTGTCGATTTGGATATGCTGTAATTTGTTTCATCTTACGAAGCACCCCCGTGTCCTGGCCCTGTTCATACCGTAGGTAAATGGGCTCTGAGCGTGGGAACTCTGCAGCACGGCTGGTTGAACGGACAGGCTTTTCTGCTACAGTTATCAGGTCTTTCTGGCCAGGTTCTCCTCCCTGCCCCCCATCCCTGATTGTGGCAGATACACTGTTGTATCCCTCTGAGAGCAGAGAAATCCTCAGAGCTCTGCCCCGTTTTTGTAAAGACATCTTTGTACACTCAGTGTTTGCAGTCCAAGCTGTCCTGGTGAAAATGGGGAGCTGTCCTGTCCTGGCACTGAGGCTCCACACCAACTAGTTTTTCACTGGGATTGAGTCTTCCCTAAGTTATTTCTTTTATTGGTATGTGTGCTGACTTGATCTCATATCTTTTATGGTGATTTGTGCTGCATTTCTTCTGTCATTTTCATTTGAGAGAACAAAATTGAAATACAAACTATCCTCATGTAAACTTACTGGTTATTTTCAGTACCACTTTTGCTTTTGTAGAAGGGGATTGATTTCAGACTTCGTTGAAGATGATGATAAATGTTTTCCCTGGTTCAGAGAAATAAGATACTGGCTTTTTTTTTTTTTTTTTGTAGTGAAATACTACACATTATGTAATTTCTCTGATGATTTGTGGGGGAACATGGCATGGAAGGTTTGCTTGAAAAAGGGGTTATCTGCTTTGTTGAGGACTCTGGAGTTGCTTTGATGTGTCAGCCAGATTTAGAACCAACTGCTGGTCTTGGTGTCCACAGCTCCTTTCTGATTGCTTGGTTGTGTCGTAGTGGTGGTGGTAGAACTGTGTTTAAATCCCTAGGGAAACTCAGGCACTGGGGTTGATTATTTCTGTAATAATGTAAAGGTTCACAAGTAGACTGTGGCTGGTTTTGAAGTCTAAAAGCACGTGCCAGTACGTCACAGGGTGATGTGTATGGTTTGTGTGTGGTTTTTAAGAGGGGAACGAGCTTACAAGAACACTGGCAATGATCTGCACGGGGCTCTTTGTGTCTTTTGAGGTTGACAGTGGCTCTCATTTCTGTTTTTTCACCTTTAAGGATCATGTATTGACTTTATGCCATGCCACGATGTCTCTGTAGATGATTCCTGGGTAAACCTGGGAGCTGTCTTTGAAAGGAACATTCAAATAACACCCTGCTAAAAGGGCTGGGCTAAAGTTACCTCACAAGCCAGTGACAGACTGGGATTAGACCCTCTGTGCTCATAGTTCAGTGCTGGGTTGACTAAGGCTTTCTGTTTAATTATGGTAAATAATGATGTCCAGCAGCAATACCTCTAAGGCCTCAGCTCTGCCTCTGCAGCCTCCTAATTAATATTCAGCTGTAATATTGATTCCTGCTGAAAGGGAAGGACCTTAATGACATTTGAGGTTACCTCTAACCTTGCAGCATGGTTAAAATCAAAGGGTTTAATGCATAAAATAGTGTCAAATCAGACTGAAAACTATGGGTGGGATGAGCAAATTAGTCCCGTGTCAACTAAACTTCTTATGTTTTGATACATCATGGTTGGTTTACATGAAGAATAGAGGCACCTGTAACTTTAATCTGATATTTGTAGTGTTACAGACACTTAGTGCTGTGTTTTGGAAAAGCTGCTCTTCTCACATGTCCTTCTTTTGCAGAAAAGTAAAGCCTGAAAAATTAAACATTCCCATTTTTCCTGCCGCATTGGAAATAGTAACTTGCAAGGCTTCATGTTACTGGCTTAATTTTCTTTACCAGCGTTCCTTGAACTCCCCTTTTTAAAAATCAGAAATAATATTCTCGAAGTGATGATTTTCAGTTACTTAATGAAACTGCTGAATGTTCTTCTTGGGCTTTCTGTGATAAAATTCACTGTAATTTACGTAATGGGACATCCATAAATATTTGGGTGAATAGCAAAGACCTCCAGGTGGAATTAATTTTATTAAAAAAAAAAACAAAACCAACCAAACAAAAACCAAAACAAAAACCAAAAAAAAAAAAAACCAAACAAACCCAAACAAACATGTTTCTGGAGAAGTTTTCCATTAACTGCTGTGATCTCCTCTGGGAAAAACGTCATATTTCACTTTTGGTGCCCTGTCTGTGCCTTGGCCCTGAATAAGGGCTGGCCCTGACCCTCCAGCAGACATGAGATAATTTCTCATTTTCTCTATTAGAATAAACCTCAGGTCTCACGAACCCACACTTTGGAAACAGTAGTGCAATTTGCTACTTATTTCCCCCACCCACCCACCCACTCACCCCCCAACATGCGGCAGTGGTGGGTGTTTGCTGCGCTGCAGAGGGGATCCAGTTAAATTACACTGTGGCACCGAGCCAGATTTGCTTTATTATTTTATTTACTTTTGTTTTTGTCCTCGAATCAGGTCACTTCCCCAGCTTGGGCCACTGCAGGGGGTTGTGCAGGTACCACCTCACCCAGGGCGTGTTAAAGCAGCACTAAAGGGGTGCTGAGATGCATCATCAGCTGCTCTTGGTGCTGAGCACAGTAGGGGCTTTGTGTGTCCCCACAGCCCTGAAGGGGAAGTTTGTGCAGCCCCTGGAGTGTCAGACATCCTGCCTGAAAGTCTCAAACCCACAGCCACCGGTGTTTTGTCACGTGGGCCTTACAGAGTGGCTTCCTCCTGGCAAATCTTGGCTCTTGGTTGTCGTTTCCGCATTTGTGGGGAAGCGCTTGGTGGTTTCCGGGGTGTTAACACCCAGTTTTATCCCTTTGAATTTAGGGCTGTATTTCTTCTAACCTGCCAGAAAATTCTAATGATTGGGGAAAATTGCCTGATTTCCCTGGGAGGGGGCAGGCAGGTGGGAATAGCGGTTCTCAGGTCTCTGTGCTGCCCCCAGAGATAATGGATTGTCCATTCCTCTTTCTGTCTCTGCTGTGTAAGCTTGTGACTAATCTGTAG